TTCATGCTTACAGTGGGTCCAGGTGTCTTCATGTTTACTGCGTGGTCAGGTGTCTTCATGTTTACAGCAGGACCAGGTGCCTTCATGTTTACAGCGGGCCCAAGTGTCTTCATGCTTACAGCGGGCCCAGGTGCCTTCATGTTTACTGCGTGGTCAGGTGTCTTCATGTTTACAGTGGGACCAGGTGTCTTCATGTTTACAGCGGGACCAGGTGTCTTCATGCTTACAGCAGGACCAGGTGCCTTCATGTTTACAGCGGGACCAGGTGTCTTCATGCTTACAGCAGGACCAGGTGCCTTCATGTTTACAGCGGGACCAGGTGTCTTCATGTTTACTGTGTGGTCAGGTGTCTTCATGTTTACAGCAGGACCAGGTGTCTTCATGTTTACTGCATGGTCAGGTGTCTTCATGTTTACAGCGGGCCCAGGTGTCTTCATGCTTACAGCGGGGCCAGGTGCCTTCATGTTTACAGCGGGCCCAGGTGTCTTCATGTTTACTGCGTGGTCAGGTGTCTTCATGTTTACAGCGGGGCCAGGTGTCATTTTGAGCAGTGTACGCCCACATGTCTGTCACAGGGCTTCTAAGGGGAGTGCTCACTTACTCAGGGTCGGGTTGCTGTGAGTCTGAACTTACTCCAGGGCATTTCACAACAACAGTGGTGTCCTATTAATGCCCCCTGCTGACTCAGAAAACATGTCCTGTGGGGTCTGCAGCCAGGATCGCTCTGAGTCCCCTCCTTTTACTGGACACTGGTGGTCCTCCCCCAGCCTCTCTCCAGCAGCAGGTAGGGGGCAGAACCAGTTGCTCCCCCACTCCTGACCTTCAGGCCCTGCGCTGCGTCCTTCACAGACAAGAGTTCAGGATCACAAACCCAAATGGTGAAGTTCATCACCAACAGGCAAACATTTTCCTAAGCTGGGCTGTTGGGTGGAGCAGTTCACCCACAAATTATGGTTATGGTGGAACTGCTGTCTGAATGTCACCTGGTCAGGAAACCCCCACTCTTTCTCTTGTTGGATGGCAGACACAAACTGGCAGGACATTAACTTGGGTGAACCTCAAAAACAGAAGTATAAGAAGATGTGAAAATGCACACACAGAGTAGACAGAGATGGGCAACTTGGACATTGGATACCCAAATGGGTGGGGGGGACTACAAAGGCCAGAAGTGACTGGCTTACAAGCTTTCAAGATGGAACCTAGAGCTAGGGGGCATGGAGGAAGGCAGAATCTCTAGTCAGTACTATCCAATCTGTCTAGGCGGAGCTGATGAAATGAAATGCAGATGGGTAACTAGTGATACTACAGTGAGTAATTGTTATCAGGACTGATTGTGAGGGTTAGAAATGTAAAGGTAGACGTTTTGTAGCAAGGAAGGGAGTGATTAACTCTCCAGTCTAGGAGTGGAGGTCTCTAGGACCATGAACGGAGAAGAGCCAAGAGTGGGACCCTACCCAGAGAAGCAGCGAGGCCCAAGATAGAGGCAGAGACGATGATGTAGAGTGATGAAGTGGCTGGGGACTTTGGATCCAGAAAGGGAGAGGGACTGTGTGCTGAAGACTGGTGGGGGGAGTGTAGGGGGCGGGTTTCTAGGATATACCCTTTGGTCGGTTGATGATGCATGGAGGGGATTGGAACCATGGCAATGAAACGATATACGATGGGATGAATGTAAAACTAAAGTTCTCTCATGTAAACTATCATATAATTCACAATAAAACATTAATAAAAATTTTAAAAAAAGATGTGGAAATAGAACATGTATTGCAGAGCTCCATTTGTACAAAATGACCACAACAGACAACTTCTGAGAGACACAATGCAGATTACTAGTTGTCAGTGGCTTTAGGGAGGAGGGGGGAATGGAGAGTGATTGCTCACTTGGGGCTGATGCAAAGAAAACAAAAACATTGTGAAAGGAGACGGAGGTGGGATTGCACGTTTCTGATGCACTAAATGCCACTGAATTGTACACTTTGGAATGATTAATTCATGCTAAGTAAATTTCCTACCACCCATCTGTCAGCATGTCATACTGTGCCAGCATGCATTTTACTATGATGCTAGAAGCTATGCCGCTAGTATTCCAGAAACTAGCCAGGTCACACAGAGTGGGTAGGTTTCGGCAGAGCTTCTAGACTAAGGAAAATGACCTGGTGACCTTCTTCCAAAGAGCAGCTAATGAAAACCCGATGGATTGCAGCAAAGTACTGTCTGATGTCGAGCAGGAAGATGAGCCCCGTGGGTCAGAAGGCACTCTGAAGGAACGAACGGTGGCCCTGACAGGGGATTCCAGCTGTCAGAGAGGGTGCAGACAACAAAGGCCCAGGCAACTATTGTACACAGGGTCTCCGTGAGTTGGAACAGACTCAACAATGAACAACAACTGAATTCCACCTAATAAACAAAACAGGTCCATGAAGACCTCATGAATACCCGTGTGACGAAGTGGTCATTCTAGGCTATGTCCACGGGAGCAGTTCCTGGAACGTCGTCATCAATGTTGTCTTAACGACACCATCCTTAATGTATGGAGTCTCGCTTTTGTGCACCAAAGCCCCATCATGATTCTGAGTTTCCTGCTTGGGCTTTATGATTTTCTTAAACCACATAGACGCTTGCCTAAGTTGGCACCAAAGCTTGTGACTCCTTCTTTATACAGTCACGTCCTTATTGAATGCCAAAGAATTGCTGACCCTCCCGTTGGCTGTCCGACTCCATTCGTTTTACTAGAGATTTGCTTACAGTGAACAGAAAGCTTCTGTACCTATTTCATGCTAAAAGCCCAGAGATCCTAGAACTGCCATTTTTATCTTTGCCAGTGACAATCGGGTGTCAGAAATGATTGATCCGCTCAGTTTGTTGCCAATTTTAATTTGTTTACCATTGGAACAAAGAGCATGATAAAAGCTGTTTGGAATTTTCATATCACTTGAAGAAAGGTAATTATTCCCTCATTTGTTGTTGTTGTTATGTGCCGTGGAGTCGGAACCGACTCATAGCGACCCTGTACAGGGTTTCCGAGGGTGTAAATCTTTACGGGAGTAGAAAGCCTCATCTTTCTCCCGCGGAGCAGCTGGTAGTTTATTTGTGGAATTTTAGGCCTAATTGTGACCCGGATTGCCCTTATCCACTCAAAGTTCTGTTTGTACATCTCTAAGGTTGCGGGCAGTCTCTGCTCTCTTGGGCTTTGACAAGGCGAAGATACCTGGTTTCATCCTATTTATTTCCTCTCCTAGTATCATAAGGATTAGCGGTGGACTGCTATGCACAAGATTAACTTTCAAACCGATCAGGCACTCCTTAGAAACCTTATACAAGGCACTTACTTAACTATAACAATAATCAAAGGAGCCCTGATGGCACCATGGAATCATCATTGGACAGCTAACTGCAAGGTCGGCAGTTCAAACCCATCAGCTGTTCTTTGGGAGAACAATGAGGCTATGTACACCCATAGCCACAGACAGTCTCAGAAACCTTGTACAGGGTCAGTATGAGTCAGAATCAACTCAGTGACCGGGGGTTTGGTGTCTGGTTTCCTATTCAACCCAGAAGTGGGAGGTGCCAGGAACTGGGGAAATGGTGAATGTGGAGTATTTGCGAGGAGGAAGCAGGCACATTATTGATTGTTTCAACGTCAGCAGTAATAAAAGGTGAATGCAGGAAAATACTTTACCAGACATAACAGTGAGTCGCCTCCTTTTTTTTTTTTCCAGCTTTTTAGAATAAATAGTAATTAAATCATGTAAGCCGTGACAGTGAAATTGCTTAAAAAACCAATCCTCCCACCATAATTGCTTAGATGCCCACATTTTTATAAATGCTCGGTAACTTTACCCATCATTTCCATCAGTGGCTCTGGCTTCTGGGGGCTCGTAATTCACCACGCATTCGGTGACAGCTGGAGAAAAGCACATAGATTTTTTTATAAATGCACTCATGTGGTCCAGATGGGTACTCAGCCAAGAATTAAAAATGCTGGTAACACCGGAGGTTTCGGGTGGGGGTACCTAACTTGGAGGTCGAATGACTGTCTTGGACGCCAAGCAGGTCTGTTGCACTCACACACAGTTTCCAATGAACTCAGCCCAAGTCACCGTTCTCTGTGTCTGCTTTCCCCTTTTAAAAGCTCCACTCAGATAGGATTAGGACTCTCCCTATATCATGTTGACCTTGATAAAATCTCAAAGACCCTATTTCCAAACAAAGCCACCTTCACAGGTACTTGGAGTAGGACTTCAAGAGATCTTTGTGGGAACGCACCATTCACTCCTTGTAGTTAGGTGCTGTCAAGTCAGTGCCCACTCACAGTGACCCTATGTACAGCAGATTGAAACACTGCCGGTCCTGAACCATCCTCACAATTGTTGCTGTATTTGAGGCCATTGTTGCAGGCACTTTGTCTATCCATCTTGTTGGAGGTCTTCCTTTTGGGGGGCTGACTCTCCACTTTACCAAGCATGATATCCTTCTCTAGGGACTGGTCCCTCCTGCCAATCTGTCCAAAGTATGTGAGATGAAGTCTCACCACCCTCACTTATAAGGAGCGGTTCGTAGCATTTCCTAAGTAACAGCTTTCTCTTGCTCCCTCCCTGCACTTAGCCTTGCATGGTAGGAAAACAAATCCACTGTGGGTCCTAAAGACCCTGCTGGCAGCAGGAAGGGTTGGGTGCTGCAGGGCACGGGGGGCTCGGAGGGGACACTTTTAGCTGGAAATGCTCACCCAGCCATGAACAGGTTCCAGCTGAATTCACAGAGGCAGAGACCAGGAGAGAGAGCATTTGAGGAGATGGGACACAGTTGTGTTTGACATGTAATGAGAGTGTGATGTTTGATGTTGGTTGTTGGTGGATTTCTGATTTCCTCTTCTAAGGCCCTAGAGGGTAGAAAGGAGCCATGGTGGCACAGTGGTTAAGGAGTTCAGCTGCTAACTGGAAGGTTGGTAGTTCAAGCCCACTGCTGCTCTGTTGGAGAACCATGCGGCAGTCTGCTTCTGTAGAGATGACAGTCTCAGAAATGCCTTGGGGGATGGTCCTACTCCATCCATAGGGTCGCTGTGAGTCAGAATCGACTCAATGGAAGTGAATTTGGTTTGGGCTTTTGTTTAAGTGCCATCGAGTCGGTTCCGACTCACAGTGACCCTGTATAGAGTTTCCAAGGAGCAGCTGGTGGGTTTGGACCACCAACCCTGTGTTTAGCAGTCCAGTGCTTAAATCCTACAGCACCACACCAGGACAGATTTGGATTGAGGGCGGGGGTTAATAAATCACAAGACAGAAACTGAGTCTGTTAAGCATGACTGTGCCCCCTGACTCCCTACTGCTTCTCTTGCAGTCAAGTTCAGCAACTGCCTGGGCAGCCAGGGGACGCAGTATGAGACCAGCAGCCTGGACTTCCGTGTGGGGGCCGACGGCACGATCTTTGCGGCCCGAGAGCTGCATATCCCCTCCCAGCAGGTGGCATTCACCGTGACAGCGTGGGACCGCCAGACAGCGGAGCGGTGGGATGCAGTGGTGCGGTTGCGGGTGGCCCAGACTGCGGCCCAGCACACAGGACACAAGGTAAGCCTGGCTCCCACTGTGGGTCAAAGCTTAAAGCCTGATGTCCTTCGCTAAGTACTGCAGCTTCTGGAAGGTTCCCTGAGGCCCAAAGGGTCACATGGCACATGGGCAGTGCCACCTGTCCATCTGCCAGAGCCACCACTCACACTTGCGGGGCTCTGTGGCCACCATCTGGACACTTTTAGAACAGAGCCCACAAATCCTGTAACTCGTCCTGCCTGAGCATGGGACCCAGCAGCCTGGGGGACGAGTGGACACAGACACCACATGGCCGGAGCCACCAGTGCAGGACTCAATTCAGAGACGGGGGCCTAGACAGACAGACAGAGGGAGAGAGAGACACTCGGGACACAGACCTACTCACAGGCAGGATCGTGTCACCCATTCCTCCGTCCCCCTGACTTGGTTTACCTCCTACTCCACCATGTGACTGGTGTCCACAGGATGGAGACTGGAGCGTCCTCTGTCCACAGGTCCTGAAGGGACTCCTTGGTACCCATGGTCACCCCAGAACCTCACGTGTTCTCTCTCATGAACCCAGACACTGCCCTCTGCCAGCTGGAGTGTCAGCTGCATTGGACTCAGACCTGAGGAGATGGTGTGTAGGTCCTTGGTGTCTTTGTGATACTGTGTGTGGTTCTCGGCACTGGATGCAGGGCTGGGTAATCTCCCACTGCATCTGTGGGTACCTGCTGTGGCAGAGACCATCACAAAAGCAGGTTTACAAAGAGTGGAGCAGATTCCTTTATTCAGAGTGTCCCAGAACCTTCTAAACATGCTTTGTGAACCTCCATGTGGGAAGACCTCCACACATTTCCCAAACCTGTTTCACTAAGGAACCCTTCTTCATAGGACACCATGTAGGACAAGGGCTTCAGGAAACTCACTTTGGAAAGTTGGGGCAGGATGGGTCTTGTTTTATTTTCTGCTTTGGGTTTTAAACGAAGTGGAGGGGCTTCTGCTCAGGGAAAAGAAAGAGACAGCAACAGTGAGCTGGTTTTCAGACACTGACCACAGCAGGGACATGGGGCTTAAAGCACAAGTCTCCAATGAGGAGACTCATTCCCCCCAAATCCTCCATGCGCATGCTGAAAAAATACAGGACAGGCAGATATGGTCGTTTGTCTGTCTCCCAAGAATCACACACCAAACCCAGCAAAGCTGGTCCCTGGAAGTGGCCAGGACACGGTCAGCAGCCTGCAGTCCTGCACAGGGCAGGAAGGCTGCTGGGCAGACTCTTCCCTGGTCTTCCCTGTAACTGCCACGGCACTGGCCCAAAGCAAGCTCCTTCCAGCCTGAGGGAGCTAGTTCAACTAACAGAACCCCGAGTGACAGAGAGAATGACCCCACAGGGTTTCCTAGGCTGTCATCTTCATGGGGGCACGTCTCCAGAGCCTTCTCCCATGGAGACACTGGTGTTCCCTCCAGTCTGTTGCATCGTCAGACAGAAGGCACCTGTGTGGGGCACATTACTGTGGTAGTTTCTGATGCCTTGTCCATCACTGGTCTTCACAGAAGCAATGGCCATGGCAGGGATTACATTGAGACAGTCTGAAGCCCCAGTGTGCTCCATCTGCCATTGGTCCAGCTCCAGATGCCCAGCTGTTGGGGGCAGGGGGCACAGGACTCAAAGAGTTTGAGTTGTGGGATGTGATTGTGCCCACAAGGGCCGATCCTTCTCCCGGCATTTCACTCACCTCCATGGCTGATGGCCCCTGTCCCAAAGGGTTTCTAAGACTACAATCTTTATAGAAGCAGACTGTCACTTCTTCCTCACAAAGAGAGCCTGAGGAGTTCAAACCACCAACCTTTCAGTTAGAAACTGAGCACCAGCTCCCTTTCCTATCAAAGCCAAAGCTCCTGCTCCTAATTTCCTAGGATCCCTGCAATTTATGACTTAACAGAGCTGGTATCTTAGGTGTGTCATGTGCCAGAGCCTGTCCCGCATGGCATTCACTCACCTCATTCTCACACCAGACCTGGGACAGTGTACAGTCACTGACCCCAATTGAAGATTTTCTTGCTAAAAGAAACCAGTCACCAATGGTTACCAGGAGTGCGAGGGAAGGGGAAATTATTCACTGGGCAGAGGACAGACATGTGTTAACTTGGGTGGTGGGGAAGGCAATACACTACAAGAGGGAGGTTGGCAGAGGAAAGGTGGGAGTAGCAAGAGACACAGGGAGGAGTGCAAGAGTTCAAGTGACTTAAGGTAAGAACTGTTACCTGATGGTACATGGAGGGGACCGCAGTCATTGTAAGGAAGCCAAGTATATGACTTGTTGAATGTGGGACTGAGGATCTGCTCTGCAAACCTTCACTCAATTCACAATAAAAAAAAAAGTTTAAAAAAAGAAAAAAGTAGGAGGCCTCTCACTTCCCTGTCTCAAAACCTGCTACTCAGCCACCGTAGTCAAAACAACCTGGTGTTGAGACAATGGAAGAGAATGGAGAACCCAGAAGTAAATCCATCCACCTATTCTCAGTTCATATTTGAGAAAGGGCCAAAACATACAAAACACGGGGAAGGTAGTGTTTCCTCACCAAATGGTGCTGACAAAACTGGAAATCGGTTTACACAGGAATGAAACAAAACCTAGATCATATACAAAAGCATATATAAACACCATCTATAAAAGCAAATTCAACGTCAATTAATGGCCTAAATGTAAAATCTAGAACTGTAAAGATCACCAATGAAAAAATAGGGACAAAAATACACTATCAAACATAACTGAAAACACACACAGCAGGCCAAATAGATGTCTGGACCTCCTGAAAGTTGACACTTACATCCATTTAAAGGTTTCACTAACAGAGCAAAAGAAAAACCCACAGACTTGAAAACATTGGGGGCAATGACATACCAGACAAGGAGTGACTGTCTAAACTTTGTAGGACACTTCCACAGTTTCATAAGATGACAAATAATCCAATTTTATAATGGCCAGAAGACATAAACAGACACATCACTAAAGAAGACATCAGGTGGCCAACAGACACATGAGAAAATGCTCAGTGTCACCTTCCGTTGGTACTGGTGGTGGCTGTGTGTCACCGAGTTGGGTCTGACTCATAGTGACCCTTAGAGGGTTTCCAAGGCTGTAAGTCTTTATGGGAACAGAAAGCCTCATCTTTCTCCTGAGGATCAGCTGGTAGATTCCAGCTGATGACCTTGCAGTTAGCAAGCCAGCTCATAATCCACTACACTATGTGCACACCAAAACAACCTTATCCGAACATTAATAACAAAGCTCAAAACAACAAATGCTGGGTAAGGTGTGGAGAGACTGAGACCCTCCTCCATTGATGGTGGGACTGTAAAACGGTGCAACCACTGTGGAAAACAGTATGGTGCTCCCTCAAGAAGTTGGAAGTAGCAATACAATATGACCTAGCAATCCCTCTACTTAATATATCCCAAGAAATAAGACCCATGACACCAGTAGATAAATGCACACCCATGTTCACTGCAACACTAGTCACAATAACAAAAAGATGGAGACAGCCTAGATGCCCTACAATGGAAGAATGGATAAGCAAACTTTGGTACATACACACAGTGGAATACTACGCAATGCTGAAGAATAACAGTGTGTCTGTGAAACATCTCATAACTGGATGAACCTGAAGGAAATTACGCTGAATGAAATTAGTCAATCACAAATGGATAAATATTGTATGAGACCACTTTTGTAAAAAGTCAAGAAAAAGATTTTTACCAGGGGTAGAAGGGAAAGGAGAACTATTCACTACATAGATGGTAGGTGTGTGTTATTTGGGTGGTGGGGTAGGCAATTTAAAAAAGAAAAGAAGGGGGGAAATGCTCACCTTATAGGGTTGTGGAGAGCATCTGGGGGTGTAGGAGGATAAGAATATACCAACTTGGGTTATGAGAGCATTATGGGAAATCGGACAAGTACCAACACCTAGGGCTCTCATGGCATTTTCAATCACCTCATACGTGTGTGAAAGCTGAACAATGAATAAGGAAGACCATAGAAGAATGGATGCACTTGAGTTATGATGTTAGAGAAGACTATTGGGGGTACCCTGGACTGCCAGAAGAACAAACAAATCTGTCTAGGAAGAAGTACAGCCAGAATGCTCCTTACAAGCGTGGATGGTGAGATTTCGACTCTCATACTTTGCACATGTTATCAGGAGGGACCAGTCCCTGGAGACGGTCAAGCTTGGAAAAGTGGAGCATTAGCAAAAAAGGAGGAAGTCTCCCAACAAGATAGATTGGCACCATGGCAGCAACACTGGACTCAAATGTAACAATCATTGTGAAGTTCGTGCATGACTGGGCAGAGTTTTGTTCTGCACACCAACCACTAGAGCCATTGGGTCACTATGAGTTGGAACAGACTCGATGCCACCTAACAATCACTAGGGTTACGGAGAACAATATGGAAAGCGGGATAAGAACCTACTGAAGAGGATTGTGAATATGTTATTGTTGTTGTTAGGTGCCATCGAGTTGGTACCAACTCAGAGCAACCTTATGCACAGCAGAATGAAACACTGCCCGATCCTGGGCCAACCTCACTACTGGTACCATGCTTGAGTCCATCGATGCTGCCACTTGGCCAATTCATCTCATTGGGGGTCTTCCTCTTTTTCTCTGACCCTCCACCTTACCCAGCATGATATCCTTCTCCAGCAACTGGTCCCTCCTAAAAATATGTCCGAAGTATGAGAGATGAAGTTTGGCCATCTTGGCCTCCAAGGAGCAATCTGGCTGCACTTCTTCCAAAATGGATCTATTTGTTCTTTTGGCAGCCCATGGCACTTTCAATATTCTCCTCCAACACCATAACTCAAATGCAACAATTCTTCTATGGTCTTCCTTATTCACT